TCCAACCTCTCTCTCTATCCCCCCAGCTGGCAGGCTCCGATCACCTGATGGGGAACAGAACCCGGAGGTGCATGGCAGCAGATGTGGGCAACGCCAAGCCAAGGCGGTGCAAGCAAGCGGTGCCCATATCGCCCCGCAGGTCGCTCCACACACAGGGCGACCAGCAGTGGGGAGGCAGGGCCAGCAAGCAGGCAGGAACAGCCAACCTCTTGGTTTCTCCCCCACTGCCCCCCATCCCTGGCCGGCAGGCTCTGATCACCCAATGGGAACGGGGAACTGGGGGTGGGTGGTGGCAGACATTGGTGGCGGGGGCCAAGGCCAGCTGCTGGCAGCCGGGGAAGATGGGCCCTGATCACATTCAACACTGTCCATCCCAGGAAGTACCATATCTAGTACTTTCCATGACTTCCTCTAATCTTGAAAACCTACAATTTAATTGTGTGTGTGTGTGTGTGTGTGTGTGTGTACAGATAACTATATATGAGATATATTTGATGAAAGCCTAATATGCTAAGTGTCTGGTCATCAGTTCAATCAAAGTGTAATATGCTAATGACATGCTAAGTCCTCTCAACTGCTCGCTATGATGTGCATTGACCACCAGGGGCAAGCAGTTGACTGGTCGATCAGTCGCTATGACGAGCACTGACCACCAGGGAGCAGACGCTCCAACCGGTAGGTTAGCTTGCTGCTTGGGTCCGACCAATCTGGACTGAGTGAGATGGGCCAGACACACCCTGGAAACTTCCCACGGTTCCTCCCCGGTTGACCAACTTCCTGCATCCCACCCCAGCCCCGATCGTGCACCAGTGGGGTCCCTTGGCCAGGCCTAAGCCCTCTCACAATCCAGGACCCCTCAGGGGATATTGGAGAGCCCGTTTCAGCCCGATCCTGCAGGCCAGGCTGAGGGATCCCACTGGTGCACAAATTCGTGCACCGGGCCTCTAGTATATAACAGATTTTTAAAATCATAAGAGAATAATACAATGCCCAGCTTTATCACATTAAAGTTAATAAACTTAGATTAGATGTAAAACTTTCTGGAGAAAGAAAGACTACCAAAATTGTCTCTGAGAAGCCAAAAACGTAAATAGATCAGTGACTATTAAAGAAAATCAGTTTGTAGTCATAGGTCTCCATGATTCTCACTGCCTGCCACCATGAAGTCATCCACATACACATAAGGTGCAGGCAGTTTTTTTGTCCCAGGAATGCAGAGATGACTCATAGTCAGAAAATGCAGCAGAGGAATTTTATCACATTAACATCATGCTTCTCAATGAAATGTTTGAATAGATACAGTTCAGCAATCAAAGAAGATCAACATTGAAGTGTCTTTCATCTCTTGTGCCTCTTCACTCCCTTCTCTCCCCTCTTTAGATAACCATATTTGTATCTTTTTCATTTTTCTATATTTGTTTAAGCCAATACAAACATAGTATATTCATTAACAAAATTAATGAGGAAGATGTTTATTTCAATACAGAGAAACCAAACTGGGTTTAATTCAACTGTATGAAAGCAAACAAAACTTTTAGCAAACATGGAAAACTTTAAGTGTATCTTCTAAAAGCCTACAGTAAATGTCATGTTTAATTGTGAAACTTCAACATAACTCCCATAAAGTCAGGGAAAAGACATGATCTCCACTATTATTTTATAATTCCACAGTGTATAAAATGACCTAGTTATCAATATGGCATGAAAAATAGATGTGATGTTTGTCAGTCTATCATTATTGTCTCATGATAGCAACACAAAAATCTCTAAACTGTGTAATAATCTAACGGAAGAAACATGACATTTTCTTTTAAGGAAAAAATTATAAAATGTTATTAAAGAACATTGAAAGACCCATACCAGATCAGCAGACACGTGTATCATCTAAGATATTATATCTCTTACATATCCACATATGAATCTGGCTCCTCAGCCTGAATCAAAGATAGTGGTCATTGTAGTCTTCATTATCAGGATTTTCAGTCTTTTTAAGTCAATTTTATTTTAGAAACCCCCTAATGAAGCAGTAAATTTATTAATACTTGACCCTTGAGTATGTGTTTTCTAATGTTCTCTGTGATAAAAATCGGGAAGTATGCATCAAACACTTCTACATGCTTGAGTTGGCAGCTAAATTAGTCACTTTTTTATAAACCACCACTTTTATTTCAAAGAACAACTGGCAAGTAAATTGGTTATTCTGACTTGGGCATTGGGCAGAAATTTTCTTGAAAAATGAATGAAATCAGCCTGTAATTTCAAGGAAAACACTTCCTTGGTCCAGTGCAGAGGACTGTTCAGAAACCAAACTGGATGGTGCTTCTTCAGGGGTCAGGTACTTCCAGGGCTCTCTTGATACTAAACAGCATAAAGTGTTTTATATCCAACTCATGTTTATAAATTATAATTCAATAAAAGTTTTGTTTTGAATAGTGATAGGTTTTCAAATAACAGAGCTAAAAATATTTTCTAAGGTTTACCTACTGAAGAGCCATTCATTGTGTAGATCAATCAGAAAAATAGAGCCCAGATACTGAAAGCCATTTCCAAGGTGACATTCCAAAAATGCATGATTTATGGCTAAATCTTATATTTTATAGTGCTTTAAACTTCCAAGTACTTTCATATATACATTTTCATCTGATCCTCAAGCAACCCTGTGAGTACATAAAGCTTGAAGATAAGAAAATTGAGACTCAAAGAAGATAATTCTCTGAATGCACTTTGTATTTTCCTGCCCTTTTAGCTATTATCTCTGTGGGGTCTGAAATAAGTCCCAGAAAATGGAGGATATAGAATCTATGAAACCTGGCAACTAATAGATGCAAAAATAAAATGGAGATGAAGGAGCCAGAGAATTTTTCTGAAACTTCTTGTTTGGGGTCCTGGGAGGGTACCATTAACCGAGAAAATAAAAATAGAGAAGGAATAGATTCAGTCAAACAAATGTTTCCTGAATGCCTTTTCATCAGCGCTACTATAATCTGCTTTGGGGGATTTTTAGAATCGATAGACAGTGCTGTTACGGTCTCTATATGAAAAGTTAGGGCATGCATGCCAGTAACTGACTCAAGGGGAAAAGTGGTAAGTGCCTTAAAGCCTTAGTTCAAGTTCTGTAGCTGTTCATAGGTGGCAAGGAATGACTTCTGGGCTCTGGGAAAATTTTATGGAAGAGGAAGCATTTGAAAGGAGTCTTGAAGAATGGTAGAATTTGTTCATAGGTAGTTGTGTGGAGACCAGGAAACTTCAGGTACAGAAAAATAAAAGGATATGGAAGGAGGAATATCAGATATACAGGTTGGTAGGACTATCGCATGTGTGTAAACAGATAATGAGAAATTATTGAAAACAATTATTCCCAGGAAATGTTAACTGCTGCCTAATGTTCAGTTTTCTATTTTTTAAAAATACATTTTATTGCTTTTTTTACAGAGAGGAAGGGAGAGGGATAGAGAGTTAGAAACATCAATGAGAGAGAAACATCAATCAGCTGCCTCCTGCACACCCCCTACTGGGGATGTGCCCGCAAACAAGGTACATGCCCTTGACCGGAATCGAACCCGGGACCCTTCAGTCCGCAGGCCGACGCTCTATCCACTGAGACAAACCTGTCAGGGCTCTATTTTGTATTTAGTTAATTTATTTTAAAAGACACTAGCCAAACATGTCTTAAGTACAACTTAGTTCTTTACATATAAAACTTTTTCATTGACTAGGGTAAGGATTTCAAGTTCAGGTAACATAATTGATCTTCCTAGGTATTTGGTTTATAGTTTTAGAGAGTGTTGTGCAAAATATTGTACTATGGTCTTGTTTTTTAAATCTTTGGTGGTTTGTTTAAAGTAAACTTGTAGTCTTTAGATAACTATTGTCTTCACACTTAGAAATTCATTAATCCTTTAAGTAGCATTTTCATCTGAACTATATCCCTGTTCTATCTTCAAATAGCTTAGCTTTCTCTTCAGGCTCTTTCTATTCCTTTGGCATTAGTGTTTGTTATTCATTGCAGAATCTATCTGACATGGATGTTTATTTCTGTTTGTCCCCTAGATAAGCCAGATAAATATGATTCACGTGATGTTGAAAGGCTACAACAAGATGATAACTGGGTTGAAAGTTACTTATGTTGGAGACATGATGTTGTAGATGAAACATTGAAGATGATTGATGAGAGTTTTCAGTGGAGGAAAGAAATGGCTGTCAACGGTAAGCTGTTCAATTTAACCTTGGCAGTACTGTCCCCTGTACAAATGTTACTGGTTTACTTTTATGTAACAGTATATTTGCAAATATCCTTGGCAATCACCATCAACATCAGATTACAATGTATTACACAGTCCCACTAACACTTTGAAAGGAGTGTCATAAGACTTAAGTGTAGGGTGGATCATTCGAAAGGCAGTCAGGGCACCAAGGAGCAGAATTACACTGATTCTTCACTCACAGCAGTCTCATAATCTGTGCTTGTTTAATTCAGTATTATTAAACAATAGCAAGACAGCATCTTCGCTCTCAGGCCCGGACATACGGAGATACTATTTGCCTGTTTCTCTCTGTTGTTGGCGTACGTCTTTATCCCCAGAGTTCCTTGTGCTAATAGGGGTTCTATATAGAATTAATGAATGGGGATCCCCAAAAAGCAAGCTTATCCTCAAGGATACCTTTGGCAGCCTTCTTTTAACTGCTTCATTTGAAGGCTCACTTCAAGATTAAAATTTTCTCCACAAACAAGAGTTTTAAAAATTAGAGGGGGGGGAGGTGGTTATAATAGCCTTCAAGTATAAAAAGGACTCATCTCAGGCAAGGTTACCCATTATGTCTCCTCTAAAAATTTACCAAGAAACTGGCATAACTGTTGGTTTTGATGGGGTATAAAGAAGGATTTTCTGACCTTAAGGATTATAAACTCTGCAGTGACTGAGTCTGAAGACTTATACAAAATAACCAACAAATAAATCCAGAGCAGACCCTCTCCCCACTCTTCACTGGTATAGAAGGAATCCTTCAGAAAGGAAATATTTTAAAAATAATAATTTGCTTGGAAATGTCAAAACTGTAGGTAATTTCAACAACAAACAGTGAAACATTTATAAATATAAATCTGATCTTTCTAAATCACTGAAGTACAGAATAAACTTTTAAACTTAGCAGTTTTTCTTACATAGAATTGCTTGTTTCTAGTTATAAACAGCAGATAGATGATAATAGGGAGAGGGGGAGGATATAGAAAGTTCTAGGTGAACTAGCAGTGAATGTAACACAAGCCTTGGCACTTGCCACCTTGCTCCATTGGTTAGCAGCCTCACTAGAGACTAAACAGGCCCCTTTTGTTCCTCCTGCTAAAGGAGCTAGCATTTTTTTGAAGTATTTTTCAATTGCCCCAAGATTATAAAATGTATTAAACTCTGCTGGATAGCAAACTCTGTAGAAAAAATTGTATTTTACGAAAGAAACCACAGTGATTTTTTTCATTAAATCTGAAGCTATCATGTGGCTATGTGCTGACATGTTCTCTTGAGATTGGCCAGTAGTGATACTATTTGTTTGCAAGTCTTTATGTGGAACACAGAACATGGAAATGTGTCTACATAAATAATGACTGATGTCAAAGGGCGATGGATGTGTTTCATTTCTTTCATCTATGCTTTTATGTAGTTTGTTTACTTAGTAAGAAACACCATTTTTATTGCAATTCTATCCAGATGTTTGAATAAGCTTTATCTTTTCTTTTTTCTATGGGAACTACTATAGAACTTTAACCTTTACATTGCGAGTTTTCTTTTTTAAAAGGTGCCTAAGTTACAATTACTCATCAAAGTTTATCACTTTTTAGATCTGACTGAAGCCTCTATTCCCAAATGGTTACTGGAAATTGGTGGTATTTATCTCCATGGTTATGACAAAGAAGGCAACAAGTTGTGTGCGTATATTTAACTTATGTACTGGTTTTTCAAGACTTTGAGATGTATGTATCTCTCCCAACAGAATTAGTAAGAGGCGGCACTTTCTCTATTTGTAAGTTTCCTGTAACTGGAGATTGTTAGGGCCATCTTGACTGAGCATCAGATACTTAGTAGTTATACTGCTGTTTGCATTATAATAAAACGGACAGCAAAGGCAAATGCTACATCCTCTACCACAGCCAGAATTATGTAATTCAGAGTCATTATCTTCTTTGTAATTTGACTGTGATAGTAAAATTCAACCTAGTATTTTTACAGGAAAACTTCTTGGATGGTCCCTAATGGTTAATAAATGGACTTTTTTCAAGTTTCCCAATCTGCCCCTCTAGCTGCTTCTTCTGTGGTAGCAGGAAGAACAGTGGCGCTCATCCCTGCTGTCCCAAGGACTCTCTTCCCTCCCCCTAGCCCAAAATCCAGCTTGGTTTAGTACGAAGGCTAAGCCTAGGCAGGAGTGTCAGAACCCCATCCCAAGCAGAGTCTGTAATTTGCTCGCCCTCTGTGGTGTGTGGTCTATTCTTGTTGGAACAGTTCAGTACTCTCTTTGCATTTTCCTCCTATTACTGGCTCCTCCTTCTTGGTCTTTCTCATTTCTCCCTTCCCACCCTCCCTTAAATTTGCTTCCCTGGCTTCATTCCTTCCTTGACCTTTTTTACTTTCCAGCTGATACAGTCTCTGCGGGTGATCTCAAGTACCGTGACAGCCTCAGCTTCCTTCCCCTCCCCAAACAGCGGCAAGCCCACAGCATCCCAGGCCACGTGCACATACCTCACTGACCGACCGGTGCCACCAGATTGATTGCCGGTTCAGCTGCTCTCAACACAACACACAGCTGAACATCTGTGTCCCACCCCCTGCTCTGTCTCTGTACTGCCCAGCTCAGGCTAACAAACATACGCCAGAGCTTCAGGGAACCCCTCTCCATTTCACCAGTACTTCTCAGTTTAGTCCCTCACTGCCCCCTTCTCCCTAATCCCTTCCCAGGGCATCACCTGTTGGGTTTCCTTCTCTACCCCTTCCTTTCTCCCCTCTGTGCTGCTGCCTGAGATATGTTGTCAATAGGAAAATCAAAAACGCCTTAGCATTTCATTCAGGGTCCTTCACACCCACTCTGTCTATTTAGCTTCTCCTCTCACCACTCATCACTTGTTTTCTCAGCCGCCACCACTCTGGACTCTTTGCCACACTCCGCCCACATGCAGGACACAGGCTCACACTTGCATAGTGCCTCTGTAGGGCTTTTCCTCTGGAAGAACATTTTCTCTAGTGCTTGATAGAACCAATGGCTTTTTTTGGTTAAGCATGGTGAAGAGTACTCTTAGGTTATTACCAAATATTGTTTGTTCACCTGTATTTTCTTCACCCCTCACTTACTAGTGAAGTTTACTTACTTCTTAAGGGGATGGGAAAAAATAGTTTCCTTCCTGCTACTCTTCCTTAAGGTTCCCAAGTGTGCATTAGTTCTCATTTTAAAAAAGGAAGAGATATTTTTAATCTAAGAAATAAAATGAATTATAAGTGGAAAATGAAAAGGGATAGAATGATATATGTATAAAATAATATAAAGCCATAAACAATTTTCTTACTTTTTATCTAATGTTCTCCTCAAAGTGTGGATCAGGGTGAAGTATCATGTAAAAGACCATAAAACCATATTGGACAAAAAGAAGCTTATCGCATTCTGGTTGGAACGTTACGCTAAAAGAGAAAATGGAAAACCTATCACAGTGATGTTTGACCTGTCAGAAACTGGAATTAATAGCATAGTAAGCACTTTTTAAAATTCTAAGTGATTGTTTATCATGGTGTGCTCCCTCTCTCCTATCCTCTCTGCCATCCCCCCCAACAAAATATTGCTATAAAATTGAGCTAACCAGGTTATGTTGGGGATTTATTTTTTCCCCTGAATTGTGAGTGAAGTCAAATATAGAATACAATTTGCAAGAAATAAATTTGCTTCAGTGTTTGGCATTGAAACTGTAGATTTCCCAGAAATGTTCCTTGTCTGATACACAGGATATAAATGTAGGATGTGGTAGCTGGCAGGGTAATGAGTAGATGTGGTAACAGTGAACTTTTCTATCAAAGCTCTTATCCTACAGCACCTAACCCTGTGCCTGGCACAGCATAATGCACTCAGTAAACACTGAGGAAAGTGACATCTGCTCTGTTGTACCATTAGATTCATACTGTGTTTTAATGTTAATTTATAAATAAGGTTTATTTGCATGATATTTAAATATTTAAATGATTATTGTTTTAAAATACTTGAATCGTAGTAAATTATTTTTATATATGACCCTAATAACTCATGAAGGATTTAAGTTGGTTTATAAAGACGTATACAGAATTACAAGGCAAGAAATTTAAAGAAGTATTTGTTAGAGTTGGACCAGTAACGTCTGCTCTGTTGTACCATTAGATTCACACCTGAGTTTTGCACATACAGCACTTTTGTGATTTTGGTTGGGGTCCTTTGTTTGCTTGTTTGGATTTTTTGTTTGTTTGGTTTGGTTAGCTTTGGAAAACAGTTTTCTCCAGGTGATTTTCCCAACCTTAAAAAATAAGTAAAAGCTACCAGTCCTTATTTTGGGCCTTTGTGACCTTAGTGCAGGGGTGGGCAAACTTTTTGACTCGAGGGCCACAATGGGTTCTTAAACTGGACCGGAGGGCCGGAACAAAAGCATGGATGGAGTGTTTGTGTGAACTAATATAAATTCAAAGTAAACATCATTACATAAAAGGGTACGGTCTTTTTTTTCAATAGTTTTATTCATTTCAAATGGGTGGATCTGTAGTTTGCCCACAGCTGCCTTAGTGGTAACTACAAACCCTTCAGCAGGGATGGTGATCCATTAGCAAATTTATTAGAACGGATGTCTCTTAAATTCACACCGTGGCTAATTCTGGTAGCAGTGAAGTGTCATTTGCACACCTGCCTAGGGCAGTGTTAAAACCTTTTTGAAAATCCACTTGACAAAGTATGTTAAGAATCTTAAAGTGTTCACATTCATATTCTTTGCCTGGTAACTAACTTCTGGAAATCTATTCTAAAAAAAGAATCCTGAATACAGAAAAAGTATTATGCATCAAAATGTTTTTTTCAGAGTATCATTTAAAATAATGAAAAATTAGCCCTAGCCGGTTTGGCTAAGTGGATAGAGCATCAGCCTGCAGACTGAAGGGTCCCAGGTTCGATTCTGGTCAAGGGCATGTACCCTGGTTGCAGGCACATCCCCAGTAGGGGGTGTGCAGGAGGCGGCTGATCAATGTTTCTCTCTCATCGATGTTTCTAACTCTCTATCCTTCTCCCTTCCTCTTTGTGAAAAAAGCAATAAAATATATTTTTAAAAATAATAATAATAATGAAAAATTAGAAAAATGTATACATCAACACGGTGAAATGGTAAATTGTGGTTTACTCATTTATGGAGTATGTATAATGGTATTTATAAATAATTTGCAATAATATTGGAAAATACCCTTTTTCAATGAAAATGACAACAGGATTATATCACAGTGAAACCTAGCCCTCAAAAAGTAAACCTTAGACATTTTAAAAGAAAACAACAACATATAAACAAAATACATACTAGAGAGAACCACTAGAGAGAAGTAGAGGTGAGTAGAGATGGGTGGTGGAACCACAGACTTTTTTTTCCCCCATCTTGCTTTATATTTAAAGAGTTCATTGTCCTGGATTTTTTTCAGTGTAGTTTTGTGTCAGTGAGTTTTAGATTACAGAGTACATTGTTTTATGCCCAAAATCTAAATCAAAATGCCTAGGTAAATAATATTTCATAAAAATAAATCATGATTCTGTTATCTTTCATATGCAATAATTTTCTAAGTATTAACCCAGAATAATGAAAAGTAAATGTAAATATTTTTTATTGCCAAATATAGGGGCAAAGAATTGAACTGTCTGATTTTTTTCCAAGCTACAAAAGATATGCTATCTCATTATCTTTAATTTATAAATAAGGTTTATTTTGCATGACTAAATACTTAAATAATTATTGATTTAAAATACTTGAATCGTAGTAAATTATTTTTATATATGACCCTAATAACTCATGAAGGATTTAAGTTGGTTTATAAAGATGTATACAGAATTACAAGGCAAGAAATTTAAAGAATTATTTGTTAGACTTGGGCCCGTAATTTGGCTCTAAGCTTTCAGCTACCTACCTGAAAGAAATGGAATCATTTAAATTCAGAGATTATACTTTAAAGCCAGTGTCATAGGAAAAGTATATGCATTCCTGATACTTAAAGTAGAGAGAAAAGTCTTTCATGAGTCCTCAAAGGGAGGGCATTTTACAAGATAATGAATAGCGTCCTTGAAAACATCCTCCCAGAATGTAGACCAATCATTTTATAGAGCTTTTTTATGTAGTACCCACTAATATATGTACACCAGTGGCATCCTATCAAATCCACATGAACTAACAGTAACTTGGGATTTTATAAGCAAGGCCATTCAATTACAGAAAAGATGAAAACAAGAATATTGGATAAAGAGTTTTTAGGCAAAGTCTCTGAGGGGCACAGATCATATACTAGGTAACCAAATTTATATATAAGGAGTTATTGAGATCTTTCTTTAACCCTTGACTACAAATTATTAAGCTCTCTGCACAGTGGGTATAATGATTAGTTATAAAGGTGTTACTACATAGTAGGATTTATCCCATAATAAATGCTTAAGATAGGTAAGGATGCATACTTTACAGTTTACTGGAGTTAAAGATGCTGCAACTCACCTTCTAGGAACAACTTAATAGACTCTCATTTCCAGGACAGCTCACCTTTCAGAATTGATGGCTTTAAGTTTGCCTGATTATATGTAGCTTTCATCCTATAGTCCTTACAAGAAGGCTGGTCAGGATTAGTAAGTCAGTGTATGGCCATGGAATAACATGTAATGAAATGATCCATATGAATAGTAATCCTAATAACCAAATTTCATGTTACTGTGTTCAATGCAGTGGAGCCAACCAGATAACTATGCTTATAAAGGCTTGTAGAAATGGAAGTTAAAGAACAATACTTGAATATAAACTGAGAAATTCTAATTCTCATTCTAGATCTCTAAATAAGAGGAAAGAAGCTACAAGTAAAATAGATACAGCAGGCCAATATGATAAGATTAATTGTGGAATAAAAGATTAATAAAATGTTTTATTCAAGCTATTATGAAGTATAGAAATTAGCTTTAAAATCAAATATTGCAGAATTTATATACATATGTTTTATTATCCCAAATGGTCAGGTTATAAATTTTATACATGTTTCATTAATTCTTTAATTATTCAGCAGATTTTTTAGAGTTTCTCTATGGGGATTGCTTTTAGCTCCATTTTATAATTCCATGCTATCTTTGCAGCCTGAGATATCTAATTAGTTTGAGGTAACATGAATGATGTTTAAGCTTCTGATTTCTTTAGCTTAGTTTTAGGACTGATTATTATAAATAGCTTAATGACTTAAGACCCTTATCCTTGGGAATCTATATATTTATACATAAGCTTATTTTTAAAGAATTTAATAATTGTCTCATTTGTATTTAATAATTTATCACTTTTAGAAATATGCAGTTTAAAATTCTCTAATGTGGATAGTCTTAAAGATTTAAATGTATAATCTTTTTTTAGGACATGGATTTTGTGCGCTTTATCATCAACTGCTTTAAGGTTTATTACCCTAAATACCTCTGTAAGTAACTTACTCCTTTATAAACATACTAGAGGCCCGTGCACTGGTGGGGTTCCTCGGCCTGGCCTGCAGGGATCGGGCCGAAACCGACTCTGACATCCCCCAAGGGGTCCAGGATTGCGAGAGGGCACAGGCCAGGATAAGGGACCCCACCGGTGCCCAATCGGGACTACGGGAGGGCTGCAGGGCATGTCTGGCCCATCTTGCCCAGTCCCTATTGCCGGACCCCAGCAGCAAGCTAACCTACCAATCGGAGCATCTGCCCCCTGGTGGTCAGTGCACATCATAGCGACTGGTCGAACGGTCAGGTACTTAGCATATTAGGCTTTTATTATATGGGATGAAATGTAGAAACTGTAAACAATGTCTGAAAATTATAGAGCTTTATATTATAGACTTTAATAGCTGAACACTGTTTTCTGATGAAGAGCTTAAATGTGTTCATAGAAGTTTAAGCACATATTGTAATAGGCACAGGGGGAAATTTTCATAAATAATCATGTCCTTTAGAGTTAGTTTTAAGAGTTTAAGTTCTAAGCTGTACATATGGCATTCTATAACATACATACACACACACAGGTACATAAAAACATACACTTATTTCAAAGATTAACCCATTTTTACTAATCTTTCAATTCAGAAATCCTTTAAAATATTTTTTATATTGACCTTGGCTGGGTAGCTCAGTTGATTAGAGCATCATCCCAGTATGCCAAGGTTGTTGATTCAGTCAGGGCACATATAAGAATCAACCAATGAATGCATAGGTGGAACAACAAATTGATATTTTCTCTCTCTCTCCCTCTTTCCACTCCTCTCTCTAAAAATCAATTTCAAATACAAGAAAATATTTATTATATGGAATGTCCTACATACAAGAAACAGATAAATAATATTGATAAAGTGGACTCTGTCATAAGCAATATTCATAGGTAAAGTACATTGTGTTACTAATTGCTATTTACAAATTGTCATTGAGAAAACAACTATAGTGTATTGCATTTGAATCTGATGTTGAAACTGTTTTAAAGTTCAATGGATTTCAACAGTAATATGACATGCCATATCCAGACTCCATTTACCCACTTAACAATTTTCTTTTGTACCTTTATGCAAACAACAAAAACAATAAACAAAAGGCCAAGCTACTTGCCAAAGGACAGTGATAATGCAGTGTTTATTTCCTACAAGCTATTCTCCTGGCTGGGCTCTTCACCATTTTGAGAAGTTAGTGTAGTTCTAGCCACTCACCCTTCACTGACTTAGAAATGAGTCAGCCAGCTCCGTTTTTTGTTACATTCATATCATTTTTTCTAGGTCAGATATATGTCATATTACTATAGTGGTACTAAGTCACATTCAATGAATTTTTTTTCATCTTTCAGCAAAAATAGTGATCTTCGATATGCCTTGGATAATGAACGGTGAGTATATTACCTATACTTTCTAAAACAGAATGTCTGATTTCCTTTTTTCTTTGCCAACTTAGCCACATTGCTATGGTTGTTCAAAAAATGTTTATATTGTGCTTGGTTTTTATTGGGGTTTCATTACTCTTAAGAGGCTAGATCTAAACCATTCAAAGGCTTTTCCAGAGCAAACAAGTCTAATTTTCTACCCCATAGGGTCACCCACTAGTCTTCTCTAAAACCAGCCTCAGGATAGTCAACCTGAGGTAAAACTATAGTCTGAAGCCTCAGTTTTTCTCCCACAGGTGGGGTATTTAATGAAACACAGGCCTTAGCTAGGTTTTCTCATGGGCTTCAGGTGTTGAGGAGGAAGGTGGGATGAATCTGAAATTTACTCCAAATCTCTGTAGTCACATATTCCTTCTGACAGTCATAATATATATATTTTAAGTTATTGGAAAACACTAGTTATCAAAAAACTTCTCACAAAGGAAAGCCCAGGTCCAAATGGCTTCACTGGTAAATTCTACCAAGCATAAAGAAGCAACACCAATCCTTTGTAAACTCTTACAAAAAAATAGAAGAGGGAACAATTCCCAATTCATTTTATGAGCAAGTATATATCCCTAATCACAAACATCACAGGAAAACTAGGCCAATATCTCATATGAATGAATATAGATGGACCAGTCCTCAATAAAGTACTAACAAACTGAATCTAGCAACCTATAAAAAGGATTATACACCATGACCAAGTGGGATTTATCTAAGGATAAATTCCGTGTTATCCAACTTATTAATAGGCTAAAAGAAAAAAACACACATGATCCTCTCAATAGACACAGGAAAAGCATTTGAAAACATTCAGTAGTCTCATGATAAACACACTCAAGAAACTAGGAATAGAAGGCACAAATCGTTGAAGCAACTGTGAAGTTAGGGGGACCACAGTAGTCCACACAGACTACACCCTCACTTCTGACACAAACTGTAAGGTCAAGGGGTTCCCCAAACCAGTCTCACTCAGGTTTACTAGAATGACTTATAGAACTCACTGAAAGAAGGTATACTCGCAGCTACAGTTTATTACAGGGAAAAGATTCAGATTAAAATTAGCAAAGGGAAGAAAAACAGAGTCGAATCCAGGGAAATACCAAATTTGGAGCAAGTCAGTTTCCAGCATCAATATGGGGCAGTACCCATGGAGTAATGCCACTCAGAAAATATTACCCAAACTTCAGTGCTCAGAGTTTTTATTGGGGTTTCATTACCTAGGCCAGACTGACTTAACCACAATGTTTACCCCAGTCTCCCCAGAGGTTTACTGATACTATGTGATGCAAAGCCCCCACTCTAAGTCATATTGTTCCTGTGTGACCCAAGGCCCCCAGACAAACAAAGACAGTCCTGTCAAGCATGAAGATTATCTCCCAGCAGCTAAAGGCATAGGCCAGACCTTTCTTTGAGTAAGGTTAAGTCTTCACTACACAGAAGAGAACATCCAGAGCCTGATCAAGGGCATCTATGTAAAACCTGCATCTGTGAAAACCCACAGCTAACATGGAGTAATACTAACAATATTTGCAGGTGACATAATTTTCTATATGCAAAATTGTAAGGAATACAAACACACAAAAACTTATTAGAGCTAATAAATGAGTTCAGCAAGGTGGCAGGATGCAAACTTAATACACAAAATCAATTGTATTTCTATATATTCGCAATGAATTATCCAAAAATGAAATTAAGAAAATTTCATTGATAATAGCATCACAAAGAATAAAATACTTAAAAATAAAATTAATAAGAGAAATTTAATACTTGTACACTGAAAACTACATAACACCACTGAAAGATATTAAAGACCTAGGCAAACATCTCTTATTTAAGGATTGGAAGACCTAATATTGTTAAGATGACGATACTTACTGAATTGATCCACAAATTTAATGCAGCCCTGGTCAAAATCCCAGCTGCCTTTTTTTAAAAGTAATTGACAAGCTTGTAAGAAGATATGTAAATGGCAATGAATACATGACAAGATGCTCAATATTAGTCCAATACATGACAAGATGCTCAATTTCAATAAAAAAAATTCAAGTCAAAATCAAATAAGATAGTACTTCATACCCACTAGGATGACTATAATCAAAGAGACAGATAGTAGCAAGTGTTGACAAGGATGTGGAAAAATTGGAACCCTCATACATTTCTGGTGAGAATGAAAAATGGCAGTTCCTCAAAGAAGTTAAACATAAAATTACCATATGGCCCAGCAATTTCACTCCTAGCTATATATCTTCAAGAGAAGTGAAACCATGTGCTCACACACAAACTTGTACACAAATGTTCATAGCCGCTTTACTCATAATAGTGAAAAGTGGAAACAGCCCAAATATTCATAACTGATGAAAGGATAAACAAGTGTTATATATCCATAAAATGGACAATTATTCAGTCATAAAAAGGAATCAAATACCTTTTAAATGCTATGTCATGGATGAACCTTAACAGTATGCTAAGTAAGTGAACAAAACCAGTAGAAAAAATACCATTGTATGATTCTATTTATATGAAATGTCTGAAATAGGCAAATCCATATAGACAGGAAGTAGATTAGTGTTTACCATGGAATGGGAGAAGACAAGACAAGGAGAGATTGATAAGTGAGAGTTTCTTTTTGGTGTGATGAAAATGTTCTAAAATTAGAGAGTGGTGATGGTTGTGCAACTCTGTGAATATACTAAAAACCATTGATGTGTATATTTTAAAAGGATAAATTTTATGGTATGTAAATTATATCTCAATAATTGTTCTAAACTAACAGATATAGCACTTTAGATAATTCAAGCAGTATAACTTTAAATATGTCAACACAAACTTTTTAGATAGAAATGAAAATGTAAATGTTATATAAAATATTTTAAGCACAATTAGCCAAAGTAAAAATAGAATTTTCTGAACTACTATATTCAGCATTTATTATGCGGTTTTATTTCTTTTTCTTATTTTCTCTTTTTTATTGAATTTATTGGCTTGACATTAGTTAATAAAATTATATAGGTTTCAGGTGTATGATTCTGTAACATCATCTGTACATTGTATTATGTATTCACCACCCCAAGTCAAGGCTCCTTCCATTATTATACTGTTTTATTTCTTGATTTAAATTGATGCTTTTGCAAATTTAATGCAGGATTCCTCTTTTAATTTCTTTAAAATGTGTCTGGAATGTCACAATGGAAAGAAGCTTTAAAAAATTAAGTATTTACAGAATGGCATGACAGAACAGATTATAATTATTAAACAGCTGGGTTTGATAACAGTTATTCTTGCAGATTCTGTCAATTCCTCACAATTACATAGATTGGAGGACTTGAGAGAAAGGCAGAGAAGGTTAGGGTTAGAATGGAAATCTGGGTCCAGCTCACACCCATTATGAGGTGGCCTACTTCTCTTCCTGACTTCCCATTTCAGAAAGTTTTTCAGACTGGGAGTTTTATCAGGAACGTAAGGCAAATGACTCTTCCCATAATATTGTGCAGTTATTCCCTGAATCAGTGCTGTTTGATTTAGTGTCTGGAAATCTTAGTAGTTGGGATTATTGATGGATTTGTGCAGAGGCCAAAACTCTGATGAGTGTATTTGAGAACATTAGAGTAATTGAATTTTGAATCTTTATGGACCATTGAAATCTGTAAGGGACAGTCATAGTGTAAATACCTATAGGAATTAGACAATGTTAAGTATCATGCCATGGAAATATACATATTAACAAATTTTAGCCTAACCTATTTTCAGAAGACCTGAGTTAGCATCTACAGTAAAATTAATTGAGATAGAGAATGAAAAGAATTTAATTAAGTAACTTTTTTTCTTCAGCTGCTTTCAAAATTGTGAAATCCTGGCTCGGTCCAGAAGCAGTGAGTTTGTTGAAGTTTACAAATAAACATGAAGTCCAAGACTATGTCAGTGTAGAATACCTGCCTTCCCACATGGGTGGAACTGTAAGTATAGTACTTGAAACTTGTTCCTAAAATAAGACTGGGTCATGGCACATTAGCCTGTAATCTTTCCTCAAGGAAAAAGGAAAAGCAGTGTCATAATATCCAAAGGAAGATCATAGATTCACCAAAATAATAAGCAGTGTTACATTTTTGTAAGTTTTCAAGTTGTTAGATTGCTATTTTTGAATGGGTCTGAACTGAAAAGTATTCAGTAAAAATGTATTCAGTATTCAGAAACAAGTACTCGGTAAAAGTCTTTCTGCTGCTATCTCAGTCACCCGGTGCCCTTCCCCAGTTCCATTATTTCTTATACTTATTTTCAGGGATCTGTATTGCCTATATAAGCAACTGTAGAATATATGTATAAGCAAATATAGTACATATGTAATTCTTCCTTCTTCCCCTCTCTTTTAAACAAGTAGTATATTTATACACTACTGTGCATCCTGCTTTTTTCTTTACATGTCTCAGAGCTAATTTCAAATCAATATGTGACAAGCTGTCTTACTCTAATTCCTGACTGCAAAATATTCCAGTATCTAGAGATGAACCATAAATTATTTAATTAATAACCATTAGGTGTTAGTTTCTTTTTGATGTGTCTTTAGTTTGTTTCCATTTGTTTACTATTGAACAATCGTTTTTGTTTAAAAGATAAAGTAGCCCAGCCAGCATAGCTCAGTGGTTGAGCATCGACCTATGAACTAGGAGGTCAACAGTTTGATTCCCAGTCAGGACATATGCCTGGGTTGCAGGCTTGGTCCCCAGTGGGGGTGCGTGCAAGAGGCAGCCAACAATGATTCTCTCTCATCATTGATGTTTCTATCTATCTCTCCCTTTCCTTTCCTCTCAGAAATCAATAAAAAAATATTAAAAATAAATAAAAGATAATGTATACTATCAAGATTTTTTGCAAATGATTTTACTATTTACAAATAAGAGATCAGGAGTAATTAGGTATGTGTTAAATTCTTAATACCACATAATAATGAAACATATTGTGATAATGACTTTATTTATAAACTGTAAAGCCTGTAGAAATGGTATGCCTTGGGTTAACTTGATTGACAATATTTCTATTTGATTTTTATAATCTTTGTATACTGCCTTCCTGGCAAAATTGTATTCAACCAGAACCAAGGGGATAGCAAGATGAAAAGTTTTGGTATGTCCGTGTTTGTTTTCTTTGATTAAAAAAACTTGAACTAATATTTTTAATTTGAAGTTTGATGCTTTCCTATTCTGGGATTTCATATTTCATATTTTAACCTAGAAAAACCAGACTATGGTTCATTTCAAGTACAACCCTTAGTTAAAATGGTGATTTTATTGATTTGACATTTTTTAACATTTGCCCACAGAATTGTATCTTAAAATTAATACCATTTAGTAAAATTTATTTTTCTTTTTAGAGGTATAAAAGGTTATTTTATTTCCCATTCTCTGATGTTAGTGGTATATTTCTTCAAGTTGTAGTCAAAATTGTAGTTAGGACTACTAATATTTTTACATTTTTTTGTCTTCAAAAAGTAATACACATTTTTTAACAGAAAAGAATACCAAAGACTGAAAAGTATAACAGTACAGTGAAAAGTATGTCTTCCTCCAAGTTTCTCTCCTCTGGAGATATTGTATCCATTATACTATTTTACATAATGGTCACATGTTATATGTATTCTGTTGTGGGTTTTTTTTAATATTTTTATTTATTTCAGAGAGAAAGGGAGAAGGAGAGAGAGATAAAAATATCAATGATGAGAGAATCATTGATTGGCTGCCTCCTGCATGCTCCCCACTGGGGATTGAGCCCACAACGTGGGCATGTGCCCTTGACCAGAATCGAACCTGGGACCTTTCAGTCCGCAGGCCGACGCTCCATCCACTGAGCCAAAGAAGCTAGGGTTGTTGTGGAGTTTTTACATCATTTATTTTTAGGTTATACCATATTGATTCATAGAGGTGTACCTGACTCATTGACTATTGCAGGATATTCCATTGTGTGAATATAACATATTTACTCAGTTCTCTTTTGAAGGTACATTACTTATTTTCTAATCTTTTGCCATTACTAATAGTGCTGCAGTGACTATCCTTGTAAATAATTTTTCATGAGCAGGTGCGGCAGTATATATAGAAGATAAACTCCAGGAAATAACATTAGGTCAATGGGTATATTTAGTGTTTAATTTTTATAGCTGTTGCCAATTTGCTCTGAAGAGATTGTGGTCATTTACCAATAATGTGTGAGAACATTTGAGCCACATTTCTGACAATACCACATATATTGTTTTTGCCAGTTTCGGCTGAAAAATATTTCATTATAGTTTTAATTTGCATTTCTTTTATTGTCAGTGATGCTGAGCATGTTTTAATGACTTAAAAGGCAGCCTTCATTATTTTTCTGTGAACTGTATTATTCCTTTATTCCTTGTTCTCTTGGGTTATTCTTTCCCTGTTTACTTGTATGTATTAATAAAAGCTGTTTTTTGATTCTATGTGTGGTGTACATTTTCCCTGTTTGTGGCCCTTTTTAAAAAGTTTTATTTTAGTGTGCTCAATTTTTATCAATATTTGCATGCCTTCTTATTTTTTGTGCTATGCTTAGAAAGGCTATTCCTGCTTAGTTTTTTTTTTTATCCTCTTGTGTGTTGCTCTGGAGCTTATATGGTTTTAAAAAATAAATACACACACAGACTTGCAGACACACTTAATCTTTCATCCATCTGAAATTCTTTTTGGTGTAAAGTGTGAGCTAAAGATCCCGTTTGCTTATTTTACAGATGGCTGGCCAATTGTCTCACACCACTGATTACTTTTTCTTTTTCTGGTTTGTTTTAAATTTCACTGTCTGATTCAGTCTATTTCCTTGGCCAAATGAATGGCTTTCACCTTTACTAAGAGAATTCTTTTTCTACCCACCCTTTAGCAAGCTGATCCAAAATTCTTTTCTTCTAGGATCCTTTCAAGTATAGCTATCCACCACTAGTAGATGATGACTTCCAGACACCATTGTGCGAAAATGGGCCTATTGCCAGTGAGGATGAAGCTTCGAGTAAGGAAGATACAGAAAGTGATGGCAAAGACATCTTGGAAACAATTTTTGGTGAAGAACAAACAGCTCTTCTGAAAAAGGTAATTTTAATAATAAGATGAAATTAAGTCAAAAGCTGTGGCCTAGCCCAATTCTAATAGCTTGCTATGTGATTTTGGATAAGTCACAACTTTCTGTCCTTCTGCATCTTTGTATGTACAAAGAAAGAAGGATGGGATGGGGTGATTCCATACTTTTGTATAAAAATTGGCAAAATGTACTTGATGGTGTTATCTAAAATATTTTTATTTATCTGAAATAAAATTAAAACTTTAACTTCTTGATCTACTTCGTCTTTTTGTTTCATATTTTAGAAAGCACTTACTTGTCATCTTATAATCAAGGGCTTGATAAATACATTATAATTTAAAATAAATCCAAAGACTCTTAAGGGAGGGACCATGTTATATTTTCTATAATCACATTTATAGTAGGCACTCAATTGTATGTTAATGTACCATTAATATATATTAATTATATAATTTAGGTATAAAGCTACATTAAGGATTATAATTTGCATTGAGTCAATATAATGTTTACTTTTTGACCTATTGACCTGCCCAACCGTCAAGTATGAAACTAAATTTCTTGATCTTTTCTTTATATTTTTTTAATCTTTAGATTAACCTAACTGAATCTACTTCCAAAGCAGAAGAAAATGAAAAAGTTGATTCCAAGACTAAAGCTTTCAAAAAACCATTGAGTGTATTTAAAGGGCCCTTATTACACATCAGGTAATAATGGAAGATTTTATTAGCTATGCTTTCATAACATATTTTGATGATCTTCAGGGAACTGCAATGTAAGAAAACTTCTATACTATTTTTGAAACTGGCGAAATACAAAATTAAGGGTTATCTGAAGACCTTGGTTTCCAGACATAATGGATAGTTTTAGCTACCTTTTTATTATGTTCCATTCTGTGTGTTTAAAATCCCCTCATATCCTCATATCAGGTAATATGTTCCTCATATCAGGTAATAAGAGTGCATATTCATATATTAACAGTAAATCTGAATGAAATGTATTTTTCTCATTGTTCGATACTGTTAGACTTTGCACAAGTTCAAAGATTCCAGAAACAACATTGAAATGTAGGTGTTTATCCATTTGACCTTCCAAAAGCTAAAGCTGAACCAGAAAAATAGTTTTTTTTAAAATATATTTTATTGAGTTTTTACAGAGAGGAAAGGAGAGTGATAGAGAGTTAGAAACATCGATGAGAGAGAAACATCGACCAGCTGCCTCCTGCACAATCCCCACTGGAGATGTGCCCGCAACCCAGGTACATGCCCTTGACCGGAATCGAACCTGGGACCTTTCAGTCCGCAGGCCGACTCTATCTCCACTGAGCCAAACCAGTTTCGGCAGAAAAATAGTTTTATTAAAGCTAAATTTCAGCCCATCTCTTGTTTCTAGGTTGTGCAATTCAAAAGATTCAGGATTGTTTCTTTATCTTTATGTAGAGACCTCTTTCTCTCTAATGATGCTTCTTGGTTGGTAAATCTATTTAGCCTTATATTAATGTTGCTATACCATCTTTCTTTAGTGATAACCTAATACATTATTTTCTATGCCTTTACTTGAAACCTTTCAATGTAATTGCTTTAGTTATGTCTGTTATGAACAATGCAGCCAAAGTTTTAAAAAATTGAATCTGAGATTTTCAAACTGACAAGATTAGTTTGTTTACACGTATTATGACTACTATTATATTTGGATTTGTCATGTCTGTATGTATGTGAGAGAAACAGAAACACACGTGAATGTTCAGTTTACCATGTTTTTTCTTTGCCACTTTACCTCTTTGAAGTTTGTTTCCCATTTTTCTCTCTACTGGTTTGGAAGTTACTCCGTTTTTGTTCACTAGAGGCCTGTCAAAACCATAGGTTATAAATATTTACATTTATATTTGTAATATCAAGGCTTATAAATATCACTAGAGGCCCGATGCACAAAATTTGTGCAAGGGGCTTGGCCCTGATAGCCACGGCGGCTTGCCTCGGCCCTCACAGCCCTGGCTTCATCCGGAAGGTCGTTTGGCTGTCCGGTCTAATTAGCATATTATGCTTTTATTATTATAGATGGTATGACCGGAAGAGCTCATTAGGGAGAAAGCCTAAGTGGGACTTGGGTCTCTGCCATTACCTGCCTCTGTCCCAGGAAAGTCACAGGACTTCCACATAAACCCAAGGACTCAGCCTATGTCTGCCTCCCTAGAGCTTCTCACAATTTCTGTGCTGGTTTCTGAGAGCAGTTCTCAGATCCAAAACCTTCTGTCTTTTCTGTGGCATACTTCAGTTTGAGTCCGAAAAGGAAACCAACAGCCCTGATCATTTACCGTCTTATCCAAAGCTGGGCAAAGCCCTACTGGGAGAGCACTTCCTTAAAAATGTATGTTCTCGCCCTAACCGGTTTGGCTCAGTGGATAGAGCATCGGCCTGCGGACTGAAGGGTCCCAGGTTCGATTCC